CTTAAGTACAAAAAATATCAGCTACTTTAGACTTTTACTCAAGTAATATTTTTAGAGAAGACTAACTTTTACCAAAGTTTTTTTATGATAAGATACTTGTGCTTTTACTCGTGTATCACTTTGAGGTACTTTATACAGCATTGTGCTCAACCAAACATCTCCCCTCCCAAAACAGAAACACAAAGTTAAAATGTGGGAAATCAACATCGGATATTAATATCGGCCCAGTTTTACATATCGGACCGATACCGATTCTAAACAATTGCCAATATCGGCCAATACCGATATCAATACMGATATATCGTGCATCCCTATTGAGTAGTAATACTGTATTGTTCAAATGTGGAAAATTGCCAATTTGCACTGAATCACAAGATATGAGTGCTTGTTAATGATTTTCAGCTATATCAAATTTTAGCTAAGCAACTAAACTAAAACCGAGTTGTAGCCAATTTTGAGGTTACCGTTGCCAAATGTTTAGTCGAGTCTCCGAATTCTGCTCAGTGTTGATGTGTAGTCAATAAATGGAAGTCTGAATAATAACTAAAAACCTCTTCTATAAAGGCTTTATTCTAAATCAGCTCCGATCAGCTCCAGCAGCACACAGCAGGCCTCCAAGTCAAACGACCTTCACCTTTATCAGAAAAGGAAAACAGTCCCCTAGCAGCTGCTCGGATAACTCAAACTGCTCAAACTGAATAACTAACAACAAACCTCTTCCCACATAATGATGAATCAACATTTTTAACGTAGGGCCAATTTTATTTTATTTTTTTGGTCAAACCCCTTGAGGTGACGTTAGAACGTTACCAACTTTGTTATGAAGACAGAAAGGCCTCATATGATAAGACACAACTCTGTTTTAAACCATATGGCTGTAATGATCAGAAAGTATAAAATACAAGACTGAATCACAACATTCAGGTAATTAGTAATATTTTCTTCACTTTGATATGGGATTTTCAGTCTTAAAAACTTGAAAAAATATGTTTGGAAACTTGAATTCACTCTAATTCCCTGCTGTAAGACACTAAGAAGCTACAGATGGCGCAACAAAAATTAAAAAAGCTAAAACAAACTGGATTGTGCAACATTCAGTTCAGTTTAGTTTATACAGGACCAAGTCACAAAGAACATTGGCACTTTATGGCCCTGCCTGTCATCTGGTCCCGCCAGACATTTACACAGTCTGCATTGACTGAACTTTGCGGTGGCACCAAGACGACTTCCTCTGGTTGGACGACCACCACAGAATTAGCCATTCAACAAAATCCCAGAATTTGAAGCAGAATAACTTAAGAAGAAAGTTTTGTACCACAGCGTGTAACCTGGTGAGGTCACTCCTAGTCTGAATGGTTTACCCAAAATTCATAAACAGGATGTTCCGGTAAGATTGACTTGTTGGCATGATTAATTCTGTCGCAATGTTTCCAAATATCTGGCGTCTGTACTTAGTCCTTTAGTTGACATTTCAGAACATCGCATACAGAAAACGGTGAACTTTGTGGACAAGGTGAGGGTTGTCATCATGGAGGGGGATTATCCCTTGAACTGCCATCAAAAGAATCTATTTATGTCACATCACTCTTTACGTGCGGTCCCATTGATGAGAAGGTGTGCTATTGGCTCCCCAGTTTCTTGATTTTGTTTTGCACTTTACAAGTTTTAGCATTTATTTATTTTTATTTTTCTGTTGTACAGGCTTGTGCAACGACAGATTATTCTATTAATATTTATGTTAAATTATAAGAATAATGAATTCGTAACACTTCATTAGCAAAAATCTCAGTGCTACAAAACGGCAAATCCRTCCGTCCGTTTTCTGCCGCTTATCCGGAATCGGTTCGCGGGGGCAGCAGCCTAAGCAAAGAGACCCAAAATGGCAAATCATGGTAAATAAAACTAGTAAAATAAAAATACACTAATAAAAAAAACACCCAAAGCAGAAAAAGCTTTTTCATTTATCTAAAACAATTGATGAAATCACGATGAAATGAAAACCAATGATTGCGACTCTTTCAGATTGCCAGTAAGGGAGTTCCAAAAGCAGGGGACAGCCACACAGACTGCCCGTTCTCCCATTGTCCTTAATTTAGTTCGTGAAAGGTGAAGATTACTGTTCTGTGACCGGAGGGAATGGGTGGATGAGAGGTGATAATCATGGCTCCAAGAATAGTCAGGCTGAAGGTGCTGTTGGTCCGCTGAACAATAGGGATAATCAGGGCACCAATGATTGATCGTTGGTCCTCTTTTGCATGTGAACAGTTTTGTATGTCATTGTTTACTTGTTTGTCCACAATACTGCTTATGAGGCTGAGCTTGCTTGTAACTCCTCAGACTGAAGAAGTCTCTTGGAAGGAAAACGTTTGATTAAAGAACCCATCCAGAGGACCTATTTAATTTTTTTTCCTACCTGGATTACTGAGACRCATGAGGACAAAAGAAATTTCTTAAATTTTGTCCACAATTTTTGTAATACTAAAGAGGGAAAAAATCAGTCAAATTATAACGGACTATAATTGTTTYTTTGTTTTTTTTTACCTCAAGGTAAGCATAGTGCAGGTGCTACTGGACAGTGTTATTCTCACAGACAGAAACTGTAACAAGTAAACCTAGAGTTTGAGAGCGAAGTGCTCTGTTAGGAAAATGTGGAACGATAAGATCTTTAATACAAGATGGAGCCTGGTTGGTAAAGTAAGACTTTAAATTATATTCTAAATTGTCTTCATGGCTTCATCAGAAGCACTTCAAGATCAACAATGAGCTGTAAATATTAAAAGTGAAAGTTTGTTTTCTATTTTGTCCCCACCGAATCTGTAATTCAGATTATTTTGACATTATATTTCTAGAAAAAGGAGAAGAAAGCCAAAGGAGAACAAATATTGGTAAGTCAAGGTAAAAAAAAAAGTTAAAGCTGATTATTTTAATGCAAACTAATTTTAACAGTTGATGAACTGACCTGTCATGGTTCTCAACAGACAACTGAGATGAAGATGCCAGTGGAGGTCTTCAGCTCTCCGTCTGCCTTACCTAAAGACCCCACATTAAGGAGGCAGCATTTAGAGGACCTCATGACAAAAATCCACGGCTCTTTCAGTTTCATGCAGGTGATTTTTAGATGTTTGCAGACTTCCTAACTATGAATCCAATATTGTTTTTGAAATTTATAACATTTTGGTCACTACCATACATGTCATTCCCTTTGGAAATCCACTCTAACTTAAGCCTCAACATTCTGTAATTTCTTTTTTAAATCTGTATTATTCACACACTGTGATGGGGGGAGCTATTTAATTCCTCTTATATCCTTCTTGGTCTGTATTTTCTGCCACTTACCTGTAGTCTGGTCGTAGCAGCAACAGGTCCAGGAGAGAAACCCAGACATTCCCCAGCGACACTTTCCAGCTTGTTCTGGGGGACCCTGAGGTGTTTCCAGACCAGAGAGGATACATAATCCCTCCAACTGTCCAAAAGACCTACTCTTTTTGTTTAGACCTGTATTATTGAGATGCATAAGGACATTAATTTGCACTATATAAAACAGAAAAATCTGGGAAAAAGTTTGTTGCATTTTTTTTCAAATGTGTAATAAAGATGTTATCCCACATATAGAGGAAATGTAATAAATGTCATTTGGGTTAAAATGGTGTGAACAGTGCTGTTCAGGAAACTGTAGAACTTGCATTTTAAATTTTATAGATAAAGACTGCTCTGTAACTATCTGGAGAAAAACTTCATTTTTCAGACAGTTCATTATAAAAACACCTATTTGTCTTTTAATATCTGTAATTAGGAATCGTACATGTTGTCAAAAGAATCCTACATTTAAAAAAATTAGTCAACTTGAGAAATCTTGGCCAGTAATRGAGCATTTTAAGATTTTTTAAAATAACTTTCTGTTTTCTCAGGACTCTCTCTTGGATGGTGAGAACTCTTTGACCAATGGAACACCCCGGCTGAAGAGACTGTCGTCTGGAAGTCCCTCTCCACTGGGTAATATGGAACATATAAACAAGCTGTTCATTTCAAAGTTTTTAATTTCCACGTTTGCATTTCTCCTTTTTTTTTTTGCCAAACATTTATGGTCAGGTTGTGGAGGCAACCCATCCAGGATGGAAACCCAGACTTGAGTTCTTTCTGGGGGATTCAGAAAGAACTACTCTATGCCAGTGTAGAGATATAATCCCTTCCAGTGAGTTCTGGGTCGGCCCTAAGGCTTAGCTTGTGTGTCCTGAAATGACGACTTTGCAGAATTGGCCTCTTACTGTGTTGAAGGGGTTTGAGTACCCCCATGTTCCTTGAGGCTGTTGGGTATTTGTCCTACTATGGTTTCCTGTGGTAAACTGGCCCTGGTGGGGGTGTCAGACTAAAAGTGGTTTAAAAAAATCTTGATGAGAAACCAACAATTACCTGCCAGAAGTGGTGGTCGTACCTGAAGTGAAGACTGGAAGCCAGTTCCACCACTCGCACTGACTGGTTAGATGCTAAGGCATCTGGGCCAGGTCTCGGACAATGGAGGGTCGATACTTGGCGAGAGCAAATCTAGGTGAGCTCAGGGAGACATGGAACTGAGAAGTCTGGAGTGCCTCTGAGTAGATGGTTTATCTTCCTTGAGGGAAGAGGCCCAGAGTCATGGGGCCAGGTGTCACCACTGGGGTGTTGAGGTTGGCCTGTCAAACTCTTGAGGAAGTAGCCTATAGTCCCAGGGGGACCAGTGCCTGTAGTTGATAAGGGAGGGGTGACTGTATTAAAAGATGACTAAAGTCTAGGAAGCTGCTTATTTAGGCGTTGGCTGATGATGGGTGTCTTTAATCACTGCGGCACCACAGGAGAGTTATGGGCTCGACACACTGGGAGCGACAAACTACAGCGATTAACAGCTGTCATCGCAGCCAGGGTGAAACCCGACACACGGGACGCGATAGCGACGGCAGCGTTGCGAATCGCGCTCTCAGGTCGCTTGTCTTCAAGAAATTTGATTGGTTCTTCTACTGCCTCTTGTAAAGGTTATTGCTGGTTCACAAAAAGGGGGTGTGCATTACGGACGTGTAAATTAAACAAATCTTGCGATGCTAATGTAATTGAAAACCAAACACACATCAAGATACAATTTTATGAGGAAAAACTTACCGGATAACTTCACCCTGGCACCAACAAATTCCCACAAAGCTTTTTAGTAATCACTTGGTGAAAGTGTTAGCTAACTGCAGTGTGTAGCATACTTTCCTCTCATTGGTCAGTCAATGAAACCCTTGCTGATTGGTTGTACGCTAAGTGACAGCGACAAAAGTTGAACATTTTTCAACTTTCATATATCGCGTCGCAAGCTCGCGCGTGCACACCTAAGTGTATGAGCGAAATTTTACATGCACTATTTTCGCTGGTCGCTTAGCTGGAGGAGGGCAAGCGATTGTCGCCTCACCGCACAGGCTCCATAGGAAATGAATGGAGAGCGAGCGACGTTGCCTCCCGTGTGTCGAGCCCTTTAGAATTCCACTGCTCTTCCTGTTTGGGGTGCCGTTTTGTAAAGTTACACAGTCAAAAATTACCACCAATATTTTTGTTTTATTTAGCCTTTTTATAAGAAAAAAAGAACAGATTTATTTTTCAAAGTCAGTTTTTCACCATATGATTCTAACATTTATAAATGTCATAGTTTATAAACTAAATATTTAACTTACAAATTAAATATTTAATTAACAAGCTAAATATTTAGTTTGTGACTTAAATATTTAGTTTTGAGCTAAATATTTAGGTTGCAACTTAAATATTTAGCTAGCTACCTAAATATTTAAGTTAAATATTTAGTTTTGAGCTAAATATTTAGGTTGCAACTTAAATATTTAGCTAGCTACCTAAATATTTAAGTTAAATATTTAGTTTTGAGCTAAATATTTAGGTTGCAACTTAAATATTTAGCTAGCTACCTAAATATTTAAGTTAAATATTTAGTTTTGAGCTAAATATTTAGGTTGCAACTTAAATATTTAGCTAGCTACCTAAATATTTAAGTTAAATATTTAGTTTTGAGCTAAATATTTAGGTTGCAACTTAAATATTTAGCTAGCTACCTAAATATTTAAGTTAAATATTTA